CGAGCAGAAGACCGTCAAATCGTCCTACGTCACCTACGTGACAGATTTCTGCCGGCTACACGAACCAGGGCTGAGCTGTTTAGAGGTCGACTGTCCTCACAGACCATTCGAAATCGGTTGCGGGCTGCCAATCTCTATTCTCGACGTCCATATTGTGGGCCAATATTGACGCCGTTTAATCAACGTCAACGTCTGTTGTGGACCCAACGTCACCTCCGATGGACCCAGAGAGACTTGAATCGAGTCGTCTTTAGCGATGAATCCAGGTTTACCCTCAGATTCGCGGACGGCAGGCATAGAGTCTGGAGACGGCGTCGTGAACGGTAAACCTAATGTTGTGTACAGGAAGTCGACAGATTCGGGGGCGGTAGTTGCATGGTGTGGGGTGCTTTCTGTGGGAACAACCGTTCCCGACTTCTGGTCATACGTGGACACCTCACAGCCGCTGCTTACCGCAACCAGGTGCTCACCCCTGAACTCGTTCCTTTCATGCCGGCTCATGGTCCAGGTCTACAGTTCCAGCATGATAATGCTCGGCCGCATACCGCGATGTTGACACGAAATTTCCTTCAAAACGCTGGAATCAACGTCATGGACTAGCCATCGAGGTCCCCTGACCTTTATCCAATAGAGCACGTTTGGGATGCACTTGGGAGAAGGCTTCGTGGTCTTAGGAACCAACCTCAGAATTTGCAGGAACTTGGCGCTGCCTTGCAAAAGCAATGGCGTAGAATCCCCAACCACGTGTTCACAAGCATCAGGCAGTCGATGAGGAGACGGTGTTTGGCAGTGGTGAATGCGATATTGAACTGAGAAATTTCGCATTTTTATTCTTGTGACTTGACATTCTGTATACCCATGTTTTGGAACGGCGGTGTAGCCTAATGGAACTGATTATGGCACTGTAAGTGAATCGAGTACATCACACAGATCTCAGCAATGAAATAATAAAAATTTAACCATCTTATCATCTCTTGTTCTTTTAAAGTGCCCTGAAGAAAGAATGTGAAGTTTCCTTTTTGACTCAGTATATATTGACCATCTTGGTCACCGCAGATTAGGCCTATATATACTTAAGGATACAGTTTAGAGACAAACTCCAGATTACCCTTTTGAAGTACAAACTTCAGACAGAATATAAACTGAGTTGTACAAGTTCAGGTAAATGGGGCAAGGGCTGATGATGAGCCAGACCAGACTGACTGTGCCAGGATCACCCTGACCATCTTTGCTGCATTTATATATCCTAATCTGTAAATAAGATACCAATTTCCTATGGGCTCAATAAATGTAGCATTGTTCATCTGAAACATGGCAAAGTTGATGAGGTAGGACAAAAACAAATGTAGACATAAGAAATTATGTTCATAATAATCAGAAAACGGAAACTAAGAAATACATGAATGAGAAAAACGTTTACCTTAAAGTTCAAAACCAATGAAGTCAAAGTCAATATGGCACCGCTTGTCAACAAGACCACCATAGATGCTATCAGCACTATGTACTCTTCTCTCTTCAAATCGTTCTGTATGCAGCCATAGACCAACAGGCAGACAACAGGGCTGGATGCTATGTAGCAGGGACCGATCACGTGTTGGAAAACCTCATTAGCCGTTTCTACAAGAGCACAGATGTCTTCATCCTGTCTACGAATTCTGTCAATGTAATTTATTGATGGCACATCTCCACCTTTCGTGCCATACGTGTGTTTTGTAATAGTATGTATCCGGGGAATATTTGTTAGAGATACAGAACGTACAATTCATGAAAAATCCCAAGATGGCGTTCACCAGAAGTGTGACAAGGCAAAGGAAAATAGTGTGCGCTAGCTTGAAGGTAAGATGGTAGTCCTCTTGAATATATGTCAAAGGTATGAGATACAATGTTTGTGCATTTACATAGGTCAAATGTTGTCAGATACATAGCGAACACGTTGAAAATACTGGTTGCTAAGACCAGACACAATAGCATCGTAACCATTCGCCTGATTTTAGCATTGTCAATAGCTGAGCCATAGGTCTTACGATAGCAGTCGAACTCCTTGAACAGGTTGGGCAGGTGCTTGTTGATGCTGAAACAGGTAGCGCTGGTGTAATAGGCACAAGTTACATGAAACCCACAGTAAGACAGTACAGCGGTCCATTTGTCCACAGTATCAATTCCACGGGTGAAGATAAAGAAACGAACGTCCCCAGGCCTATGCACATGTAGAGGCCCCTAGTATGGTGATCTACCTTCAGTTGCTGGCGATCTATAGCCCATTTTTATATTGTGTTGTCCCCCCATAGTGAAAATGTTTTTGATTCAATTACTAGTTTTACATATATCTATGTGATACTCTAGTTGCTTTACTGTTCTTTGTCGGCAGGTTTTCTAATCTCTATTTCTATTCTATTTCAATGCCAAGCGTTCTCTTCACGATATGGCTGAAATATTGCCGATGTGACGTTAAATATTAACTCACTCACTCACTATGCACATGTAGAACCAGACGATGTACACAATGCTCAAGACATTGGAAGTCTTCCCCTTTGTAGTGGCATGTGCATTCCAGGTCAGTAATGGCGATGTCTCCAGCAGACATCTTCGTCTTGAACTTCTGCAAAGATGACGTTTCCTCCGGTGTATTGGCAACGGCAGTCAGGTTGGTATGGCAACTTATCAGATTAGTGTGGAGGCATGTGCCAGAAAACAAAATAGATGCATATGAAATCATCGGCAACTAATGGGAAAATGTACTTACCTAAACCTGTATTATCGCACGAAATATCAGTGTTGACCTGTCAAACCATCCACTCGCTTTTTGTTCTCGCTCGAAATAATAGCGTTAAAAAACCCATTCTGATTAATTACACAGCTCACATGCCGTACTGATAGAGGTATGCGTTTGTGATGTTTAGCTTTTCAATACAAGTGCTTTGTCCATGCCTGTGTTGCAGGACATTTACATTAGTGACATTTCCACTAATAAACAGGTTTGATTGGTTAATAGCTCAGCGGTGATAAACGTTATTGGAAACTTCAATCATGGGATTAATTGTGTGAATCTGAGAACGACTCGAATGGCACACTTGAGGCATAATTCTCGCGCGAGTACATTAACGACAGACAGATTTAAACCGTTTTCACAGAGTCATATGCACTACTTTGCTTGATATGTGCATTTGTGCTTATGGTACGGCTTGAGCCTTTCAGTGGGCTCTGTCTTAGGTTGACTTTTCTAACGACACGACAGATGTTAAGTTCCGTTTAATTCAGCGATATAATGCAGTCAAAAGCGTAGGTGAAGCCGGGATTCATCACATGATCACCAATATGTCCAAAGGTGCACGCGTGTTGGGCAAACAAAAAGGTCACTTCCTCGCCAAACATGTGAGACTTGGTCTGGCAGGCCTTAAAGACACCACTAGGGAAGATTGACTCATTACATTAATTACACTATGCAACCATATTTACCATCACTGTTTTCATATTTACCTCTGCACGATAACAGGAAGGCGAATAGCAACATGTGCCACTAAATGGGGATTTAGAACCCGCCTGCAAGCAAGGCATCGTGTGCATGATACCAGTTTACCTACCACAGGCGACAAACATTGGGTTCGGCTAAGAAACACCAGGGATGGGCAGCGCTCCTGTGACATGCCTTGTTTTGAAATGAATCAGGATTTTGTCTCTCTGCGACAGATGTCAGAAAATGCTGTTGGCAAAGCTGTATGCCACAGCAACAATCCTAGAGTGTGACTGTTATTGGGGAGGTCGTGACTTGGTTTGGGGCTACTATATGTCACTGCTGCCAAGTAGTGATGACGCCAGATGGGCGTACAGGGTCCTACGGATGGTACACAAACACATGCACAGTCAAGTAAATTGTTCACACGAGAATGCGTTGTAAAAGTCAAGACAAAAATGCATCGGACATTATCATTGTCACTGGTGAAATACACAATGCCATTTTACTGACTGACTGACTGAGTTTGGTTTTACGCCGCTTTTAGCAATATTCCGCAACATCACGGCGGGGGACACCAGAAATGGGCTTCACACATTGTACCCATGTGGGGAATCGAACCCGGGTCTTCGGCGTGACGAGCCAACGCTTTAACCACTAGGCTACCCCACCGCACCCAATGCCATTTTAGGAAGTGGTCAAATGTTAACATACTAGTATGTTATATTTGGGATTACACTTTCTTAGTAAAGTACAGATTCTAGTACTTTTTTGGGTTGAGTCCCATCCGGGATTCGAAGGCGTGGGTTCGAATCCCGATTGGGACTCAACCCAAAAAAGGTACTAGAATCTGTACTTTACTACGAAAGTGTAATCCCAAATATAACATATGTTAACATTGTGTTTGAAAGTTGGAAATGTGATCCACATGTTTACTGTATTAGCTTTAATCCTTTACTGAAGCATTGAAAGCTCGATCAGATAACGTATATTTATATGATGATCGCATTAACCTTGGGAAAGAAGAGATGCGTGACTGTTGCTCACACATTTTCAAGACACAGGGTGAGGCTTTTGGAATAATGCTGGCAAGATTGGCTGTTGGAAGGTCCACTCCACTTGTTATACAGTGGATTTTACAGTGGATAAATATGGATTGGTTTTGTCACTCTGCATTTAGATCTATCAGATAAGGTTGTCTCACTGGTCTCCTCAAATGGCTAAGTGTAAAGTTTTTAGGTAATTGACCGTTACTGAACAACATTAGAAGATTGATATACACGAATCTTAATTAAAAATTGTGTTAGATGTGTTATAGTAAGGTGTAAGGAACATGATAGCAAGATACAAGTCCATAGACCATTCATACCGTCTCCACCCTCAACGACAGATGATTGCGCTAAACGTGACTTGTATCGATCCGTCAACACGTTTTATTGAATAAAGTTGACATGCGATAACATATTTAAACAAAACTGCTTAGTCTCACAGTTTATGTAAAACAACATGACTAACAGGAGGACTCACACACTGGTTGCTATAGTTATTTACCAACAATAAATATTTATACAATGTGTGTAGTATGTATCACAGGATAAGAACTTGTCCTCCCTCGTCACTGCATATATGTCAGATAATTTAAATGTTCCTGACAGTAGGTAAGTTCCAGCCATCTGTATCTTCGCATCTAGTAACAGTTAGTCAGTCTTGAACTGCAGAACCACCACCACATACGTCAGTATAGTTCCGGTCAGCTGAAAGCAAAACAAAATACTGACTAAGGTGTGAGTGAGTTGGGTTTAACGCCGTGTCGAGAAGTATTACAGTTATATCACGGCATGTCACCTCTGTGTGTATGTGTGTGTGGGGGTGGGGGCAGTGGTAATGTATGTCTCAGACCTTCACCACTTTGGAGACACCCACGAGCATGGGTATTGGGCTGACAAACCTAGAACATGGCTAACCGGAATTTGAAGCAAATCCAGGTGAGCTCGATATACATTTCTGGTCATGTCCTTTTCCTACCCAGGTACATTGACAACAGACAATTGCTAACATAATAATGTGGCGTGTTAGGTTGTTAGGGTAGACCTTCACCACTGAGGCTATACGAGCGTTACTTCCGGTTCGTGTGGTCCTCCTGAGAGGGTACGTAAGTCCCAAAACTTTCAAAGTTAAATTTTTGCTTACCCGATTTTTAAACGTAGTATATTTGTTCCTTTAAATTTGGCAAACTTGTCCTACAATCGCCAGCGGCTGAAGGATGGTGCAAATCCAACTAGGGTCCATGCAGGTAGCAAAGGCACTGTAAGTTGTGATCTGCCTTCAGTTGTTGGCAATTTATAGCCCATTTTTATAGCTAACTTTTAAAGATATATTCAATCAAACACTGAATTTGTATAGTTCTATTGCAGAAGGTTATAGATCGCGCGGTTATAAGATGCCGGAACATTGACAACAGACAGGTGCTCAGGCATATTATAATGTGGCGTGTTAGGTATTTGTCTACGATCTGGTAAGCTCTTTGTGATTTCAAACAAGCTTGTTGTGAACCACTGAGTGGCTATACGAGCTGTCACTCACTCCGGTTCGTGTGCAATGCAATGGTACTCACCATCAAGATGGTCGAACTATCAATCGTGAAGAGGCTGTACACGGTATACCCAATATTGGTTGTTGTGAGTCGCATGATGAAAGTGTTGATCTGAAATAGGTGTGGACATTTTGTTGCAATTCCGGATCATAATGCCCAACTGATACTCGAAAGCATGCTGTTGCTTAGGGAGTGGAGTAAGAAGGCTTTAAGGTTTTACTGATTTCAGTAGAAATGGAAAAGAGATTACAAAATAGACACCGGAAGAACGGTTTTAAAAAAATATACCTTGTTCTGATCATAAGGCAGAAATGTAGTTTGGGTGAGATATCTTCTTGTACATGTATTCTTCAGAAACTGTGATCAGGCAAGTGCATTTGCATATCACTACGATTATGAAGTTATCTCCCTTATTGCGTTAATAAAATCCTAAGAAAGTGATTAATCTTTCTTCGGGCTTGAACATGCAGGGATTCAAACGATGGGAAAAGAGGTGTTTCTGTATGCCTGTATTATGAGGTGTTACTGTGTCTCTGTAGTTCCTGACTTCCTTACGTGGCATGCCTACACTAAAGTACGAGTTTAAGAAACGGTATTGTTCAATTAATGTCCTGAGAAAACAGATACAGAAACAGTTGTGGTGCAGAAGCATATTATTTCACGCTCTAATCTCATCGTTAAGTATGGAGCTCCTGAATGCAGTTTGAAAACAGTAGTTCAAGAAGTGGTTTTAGATATTTTACGAGCTTTGGTTCCTTAAACAGTTGTAATGGGTAAAACAGGATAGACCGTTCTGATTTTCAGATTTCAGATTCATTTTTATTCAGTATTTCGGGCCTAAAGGCCTATAGTACATTAGTTTTAAAAATCCATATGCTAGTGGTTAGTTGTAATTCAATATTTTAGAATTTTAACAGACTGGACAATATTTGTGATATTGAAGACATGTCCTTCGTCGACAGGTTTTTTATAATATACATATCTTCCATTTCAATGTCACATGTTCTCGTCACGATATGGCTGCTTGCCGGTGTGACGTTAAATAATAACTCACTTACTCACTGTAGTTCCTAATACTTGGCACACCTAAATAATACATAGAAATTCACTTTCAACATATTACAGTTGTGGTCTTATTATTTTTATCTCAGATGGATTCATGCAGTTTGAAAACATCACCGTTTGTGTACAACTTTACTGATGTTTCATATAGTCGTTCTCCACTTGCGATCACTGAGCGCCATGATTGTAGCAGAAGCTTTGTTAAACTAAAGAAATCATATTCGTGTTCTCCATGTGTGATCACGGGGAGTAATGACAACCAGAAACTTGTCAAACTAGAGATTATCAACTTGCAAAGGTTTTATGCATATTTCTGTTCTACATACGATCACAGGGAGACATGATTGAACCAAAACCTTGTCAAACCAGAGGCTATATTTATGCAAGTATACATTAGCAACTTACAGTATGCAAGCTTCTGTCTGACAGCTGAGAAAAATCACTCATCAGAAAGCAGGACAATGATGAATGGGCCTGTAAAATGTACAAAACATTTGGTATTAATCATCATCTTTTAACCATCACTGTCATCACTTGATCATTTAGGTTCACCTCGGCTATCCCACCAGCCCCGAATTCATCACTAGAATCAAAGCAAACGATAAAGAGAATTAGAAAATACATTTATGTTGATTTATGCAGTTCACTTTTGTTGTATTGCATAAATACATGTTTCCAACAGAATATCGAGAAATAAAGGTAGGTAGGTAAGGTAGGTAGGTAGGTAGGTAGGTAGGTGTTCGTCACTGCGATCGATTGAAGCGCAACTATCTTGTCAGGAAAGTAGCCCTTCATTATCTGACCTTAGGTCATCACCACGGAGTAGCCAATCACGGTTCTGGAATTCGATCTCACACATGTTTGATTCCATTTTTTTCACGTGTGTTTCTCATCCACAGATGGGTAAGAAAGGTGTGGTACACCGCTGACGGTTGCCTCAAAGTGAAAGCGTGTTCTCTGCTTATACTGTATTGATCATCATTTTGCGGCTGTGTCGAGCCCCGTTCTTATCGAAGTATTAACGCTGGTCTTTTGAACTTTCACACTTCGGTGTCTGATTGTTTATGTTGCTGTGAATACATGAACTACTTTTTAAAGCAGTGGAAAGCCTATTCCTACAAATATTAGTCTGCATGTAGTGATTGCAATGGCATTTGATGATTTCAGCATGTGGAAAGGTAATTGTACTGGTTCAATGAAACATTCATACAAGTTAATTCATAAATTTTAAAGTTTGTCTTACCTTCATATTTAAAACCACAGAAGTGAGGGTGGAAACAGCAACCATGAATATGAGAAGTCCCATTGTCATTGGTAACATCAAGTATTCTTCCATATCCAAGCTGTCGTGTATCAAGCCATAGAGCATAAGACAGATGACGGGAACTGAAGCAATGTAACAGGAACCGATCACGTGTTTGAAGACCTCACTGGCCAAATTGACAAGAGAACAGGTGTCTTCAAAATGTTGACGTACTTTTTCAATTTCTGACGTTGACGGAGTGTCTTCGTTTTTCTTGTCAAACATTTTCGCAATCCGGGTGTTTACCAAAGAAAACTCTTTGAATATGCAATAGGAGATGAATGTGAAAAAATGTAGCACGAAATGGAGCTGCATGGCATTAAACAACAGAAACACAAAACATGCTACTTTCATGAAAAGGTGATAACTTTGTGGGAGATCCTTCATAGGTGTAAGATATATCACGTTTGGATCTGCATTGTGAAATGTTATTAGGTATACAAGCGCCATATCAATGAGAATTTCTGACACACCAAGAACAGTTATCACCGTGAGGTAACGTCTGATTTGGACATTTCCAAGGCCAGAGCCATACGTGCTGCGATATGAATCATATTCCCGGAAAAACTTTGGCAGGTGCTTGTAAATACTACAACACGTTGCAGTTCCTGAATAGGTTACACTGAACTGAAATCCGAAATAGGATAGCAAAGTCATCCATTTACCAATTGTAATTGTATTTGAGAAACGGAATAGAAACCGTAAGGTTCCAAGCCATAGTAACACATTAATTACGACGCAGTAGACGATGTTGATGACTCTCGAAACTCCTCCCCGTTTAGACGGCATGTACATTCCACCGATGTTGAGAACTGTAGTCAAAGGTTTGAATAAACGCTCCATTTCTGAGGATGCGGCGTTTTCCTCCTCTTTAGATTCCAAAGGGTGAACCTTGGACAACGACATCTTGCTTCTGTTGAGGCGAATGGTGACTGTTGTATGCTGGACGGCTATATTCACACAGGTATGATGAAATTCCTAATGGACTTTGCTTTGTTAATCAGCACAATCGGTCTGGGATGGTCGTGTCTGGTTTCATATCAGTATCGTTAATGGAACACACGTTCCTGTTAAAATAATTTACCTGTCTGTATTTAATTTGTTTGACAAGTTGATTCTGCCTTGGATGAATTCTGCCCACAGGTTTCAATGATAATTATGTTGATGGACTGCGCTGCAATATAGCATTGGTACAAATACTTCTTGGCGGAGTAATGCCCGTACAGATGAAGAATGGACAGGACAGTAAATTACTCCTTGTTTGTTCGCATAATGGTCATGCGTTACTAAGCACCAAACATAATTGATCAGTCGTACAGCTGACTGCGTTAAAATGTTCAAGTGAGTGACAAGCATTAGTCAGGTGACAGTGAATTAGCAAGGAATGATCATGATCACGTGTTTACTGAAGCCCTCGACCTACAGAGCGACCATTGTCATGGCGCGTATGAGTATTCCGATAAGTCGTTGTTTTTGTATGTGTTATAGCTGCACTCATCAATGGTCCAGCTATATGGTGGTGATCCGTATATAACCGAGTCTGGACAAAATAAAACCGTTAGTCGGGATTGAAATAAACCCAATAAAATCTTGAAATATATCAGTTTTAGACTTCACCTTTAATAATGCATCAATCGATCTATACAAACGTTGAATTTCAGTAAAGACAATTCGTCGGGCGTTTCTGATCCAGGCTAGCTATTCTCGAAACGTTCGTAGCCCTACGAACTTCTTAAGCCGATTCTTTACACATTCGCTACGATCAAAGTTAAGAATTCTTAGGGCTACGAACGTTTCGAGAATAAGGGTCCAGGCATCTGAACAATTCACCTGCCAACCAGATCCTAATGTGTGGAGGAGCGATGGGGTAGTCTGGTAGTTAAAATGTTCGCTCGTCACGCAACCAAATTATAAGGCTAAAATAGGTGTAAAACTAAACTCACTCACTCCTCATGCATGTTGTGTCATTTAGTACCCGTGACCTCTTCTAACAAGTAATGAATTCCGCCGAAATTGTACAAGTTAAATAACTCTTCCTGGCACCTAAAGGTCCTTTGTATATCATTTAGTTGAGCAATCTTTTCAACATGTTCAATTAAACTGTGAACTCCTATTGACTATAAAACAAAAGGAAAATGCTTAGAAAGTCAGTTAAGTAATGTGTTTTCACGCTGTTGTAGCGCAAGATAAGTTGTTTCTAACGATCCGCGAGCCTTGGTCTCAGACGTGAACAGCACATGTTTTAGTCACCGACAATGTGGTTCGTTTTGTTTATCAATATTAGGGTCTCAAGTTTAAAATCAGATTTAAAGAATTCTCGTTTGATAACAATGATAAATTCTACAGAAGTGTAGTAGGACTTACTATCTCCTACACGTAGGACTTAGTATCTCCTACATAGGACTTAATATATCCTTTTTAAGGATGGTTATTAAGCTGAGAAATGTTTGGCTATGCAGGACGTTAGATAGTCGAAATGTGAGTCAGTGAATATTCATGACACTAACGCAGTGCTACTGTACAGTGTGTATTACGTTAGGGTGACGCATATACGTGGACCCTGTTCTAATTGCAGTTATGGAGGTTTGGGTATGGTTATGTTTAATCTTTCATACATACATCTATTCACACACACAAACACACACACACACACACTCACACACACAGACATGGGTGGGATGGTAGGGGTGAGGTTGTGATATGAAACTCGGGATATAACACGACCTCCGCAAGTTGTTGCTTGTCTTGATGGGGCTAGTTTGGATCGGATGCAACGCTCGTTTGCGGTTTTATTCGTAATTGTTTACAGGTTGACTTGACTGGGGTGGACAAGTGTTGAGTGCGGCGTAAAACAATACGAAATTCAAAAAGGCAAAAAATTGTCATTATATAATATGTATAAATATAAGGGGATACGTACACATAGATTGCCACCTATAGTCTAAGACACGTCTGTACACGCAGATTATGATTCATGTGCAACGACCTCTGAAATATCCAATGCATAAATAGTAAAGTGTAACAAAGTGAAACATATAACAGTGAACTAACTGCAACGCGTAATAGTAGAGCAAACTGAACGCAAGGCAGTAAAGTATAACAGTCGGTCCAACACAGTACTAATGTGGAACAATTAGTTGAACACATGACTCTAATAGTGAAGGAAACAGTAGACTCTAATAGTAAATTGAAACACATGATAGTAGACTCTAACAGTAAATGAAACACATAACTGTAGACTCTAATAGTGAATGAAACGAATGACTGTAGACTCTTACAGTGACTGAAACAGTGAAACAGGAGATTGTGTGCGTGTCAGATTAATCCATATAAACGTATATCGATCATCTCCTACAGGAAATATTAAGTACTACGTAGGAGATACTAAGTCCTACGTTGGAGATATTAACTCCTACGTAGTAGATATTAAGTCCTACGTAGGAGATACTAAGTCATACGTAGGAGATAGTAAGTCCTACGTAGGAGATACTATGTCCTATGTAGGAGATACTAACTCCTACGTAGGAGATACTAAGTCCTACGTAGGAGATACTATGTCCTACGTAGGAGATACCCACTTAGGAAATACTAACTCCTACGTAGGAGATACTAAGTCCTACGTAGAAGATACTAAGTCCTTCGTAGGAGATATTAAGTCCTACGTAGGAGATATTAAGTCCTACGTAGGAGATATTAACTCCTACGTAGGAGATATTAAGTCCTACGTAGGAGATATTAAGTACTACGTAGGAGATAGTAAGACCAAAAAAGATTTTCACCGTGGCCCTAATACGCTTCCGTAAAATTCAGATATGAACTTTTCAAAATCACTTCTATTGTTATCTCTGATGGAGATGTATTTTACAATGTTTCAGTCCTCAACTGTAGAGTGACAACAAACACGCAGTTGGCTTGGCCACAGTTTCCTCTGATGTTTCTTTCTACGTAACAACAAATGGACATCTTCATCGTTAGCTTCTAATTCTACATTTTATGATGTCATTCTGTAATGAAATGTCAGCCAGGCTTAAACTGGGAACCACAAAGACGTAAGTCAGCAATGTTCCAGAGAGATGAAGTCAAAAATACACATGTTATATTGTTGAACCTTGAAACGATCGTGCAAATTAAACTCTAAATACTTTGCACTTATATTGTCGGAAGGAAATAAATTCACCAGTTGAAATATCAGAAGCCATCATCGATGGCACAGTCAACATATCTTTTGATTTCTTCTATCCATATGCCCATTACTTGCACAGAGACATCTGTGTCATCACAAAAGACATAACAGATTGCAAATCCCTTAATTTGAGATTTAAGGTGCGTTCTCACAGTGCGACTTGTAGTAACAACTTGTAGCATGCAACACAGTTGCAACGTGAGAACACCCAAGTCGCAAGCTGTCGGTCAATCAAATCGCTTAGATCTGTGTCCATCTCAGAGTGACGTCATGTCAGAGACACGACTGAAACAAAATGTCAAAATCTGACTTGTCCAAACGGAGAAAATTCTTCAATGACCTTGGATCTTCCTGTTCAAGCTCCCGAAAAAGCAAATTATACGCTCCAGTCGTGTTCAGTTGCGGACCCACACCGATTTCGGCTTTCTCTTCTTCTTTAGTGACTGGAATTTTGTGTAGACTGACATGAACGTGAGCGTTTCTTCTTCACTCGACGAATCCATGTTGCCGAGTCATACGTGAGAATCTCGCGAGATAAATAACAAAGTCGTTACCATCTTTGTTGTTCCTACAAGTCGTATGCGACAAGTTGTCAAGTCACACCGTGAGAACGCACCTTTATTCAGCAATCCCAGTACTTACCATCAGGATGGTGGAGTTGTCGACAGTGAAGATATTGTACACGGTATACCCTATACTGGTGGATGTCATTCTTGTAACGAAAAGGTTCATCTGGAAGAGATATAATGAATCAGCATGTATTGAGTTTCTGATTGCAGGCGTCAGGCAACAAACGCAAACGTTTTAGGTGGAGTGTGGAAGTGGAAGGTGACATTGTTAGGGCAGGACATGCTTTCAGTTTGAAAACATGTGGTGCCAATCACATAATTCCAATCTGTCATACAAATAACTTCGTGGATATTTTACTATTTACGTGCCTCACAAAGGTAATGCCAATTTGAGTGCTTCAATTCCCTGGTAATGTACAATCTCCCCCACTGCAGAAATGCCTTCATCATCATTTGCAATGCTAGTCAGACAGCTGATTTTCAAGTGAGGGCCAAGGTTGAAATTTGGTGACTACGAATGGTGCATACGGATGACATACAAAGAGTTCGTATGGCAGCAGGTGCCCTCAACAGGCTGAGTGAGTGGGTTTAGTTTTACGCCGCACTCAGTAATATTCCAGCAATATGGCGGCGGTCTGTAAATAATCCAGTCTGGACAAGACAATCCAGTGATCAACAACATCAGCATCGATCTGTGCAATTGGGAACTGATGACATGTGTCAACCAAGTCAGCGAGC